CCTCCTCCACCTCCTTCTCCCCACGTTCTCTCCCTCCTCCTCCTCCACCACCTTCTCCCCACGTTCTCTCCCTCCTCCTCCTCCACCTCCTCTCCTCTTCCTCCTCCAGCTTCTCCCCCTCCTCCTCCACTATCTTCTCCCCACCTTCTCACCCTCCTCCTCCACCACCTTCTTCCCTCCTCCTCGACCTCCTCCCTGTATAACTGTTCAACAATGAATAATAAACGAGGGGTAAATGTCCGGAGGGTAATTGTCCAGGCGGTAAATGTCCGGGGGGTAAATGTCCGGGGGGTGAATGGTATGGGGGGTAATTGTCCGGGGGGTAATTGTCCGAGGGTAATTGTTCGGGGGTAATTGTTCGGGGGGTGATTGTCCGAAGGGTATTTGTCCTAGAACCGCTAAAACACCAGTGTCAGCCTCCACATAAGTTAAATTCAGAATTCAATATTTTAAATTGTCATAATAGGTAACGTTTTAATACAGTTCATATTACATACAACCTACGCTCACCCAACTGCTCTAACTATATATCATAGTGCTACGTGGCTGCAGAAAACAAAATTTATAGAAAACGAAATGTGAGGCTGTTTATATTTCATAATAATTTATATCTTTTATATAATTTACACGCATATGGTTCTTTAGTTAATGAAATGTTTGTGTCAAGTGATTTAGGTATGAACAATATAAACGTTTTAAAATACTGATTTAATGGATGAACCAAACTATATTACAGATGAGCATGCTGCCTAAACAATTCAGATACGGTTGCCAGAACAATAACAAATGAAGCCCAACATATTAAGTTAACCATTATTAATCACTCACTCATCATTTCTTGGACGTCAGATTGAGAAATTCAGACAGTGCAAATTTAGTTCCCATGCTAATCCGCTCAACGTCGTCGCCGGTTTGAGGGATAGTCTGCAATAACAGAGTCGCGTCCAACTCTGTCTCTACTTGTCGTTTTCGATCATCAAACACTGTGGCCCTGTTACGAAGACAAAGAGCATGACTAACACTGACCTACCAACATAAAAAGGAACATTCTGTGTATAATCAGTACTGTGTAACTGTGTACAGTCACTGACAGGACATAGAAAATACTTAATAGTGAAAGATTATAGAAAATATAGAACAAAATAATAGGATTGGCTATGAGATAAAGTTAACGCTGAGGAAAGAAACAAGAATCCGCATAAAGAGAAGCTCGCCAAAGACACAGAAAAATATCTGTAAGACCTAGCAGTAAGACTCAGCAACGCATATAAGAAAGGTTCAATAAGGCAGAAAGCAATACTCAGCATGCAGCCGAGGCATAGACAAGACTCCATGTGACAGAGGCAAGTGTCGGTATGCAGATAAGGTGAAAAGACAAAACTTGGTACACAGATATGACACAGAGACATTGCATACACATGTGATTCGAACGGTACAGCTTCTGGCTTGCTAAGTTTGAGAGCATTTACTTGAATCGGTCTGGAAGCACAGCATCCTCTGGCGTTTGCCCATGAACAATAGCTTCGATAACAGGACGCGGAATCCAGGCTGCCGCCTCCACCTCTGTGGCATCCATAGTTACCATGGGGATAAGCTCAGTGTGTGGCACATGCACCTTGGTGTAGAGGTAGACGACTATGTGGTGACGGGTCGGCAAGCCCCGAGCCAGCAGTGCCGGGTAAACGGACTGTAATTTAAAAGTGCAAGTGATTTTTGTTATATTCGGTTGTTAATTCCTGTTATATTAGCCCATTATGATCACAGTAACCACAGCATAGCACCACTTTTGCAGTGATATAGCTTTCTAGCTGAAAGACCTCTTATTCGACTTGCGCTTTTTATAATGCAATGCTATATAGAAAACAAGATTGCACATACTTAAGCTCATAGGGTCTATGTCCCCCAGGGTACTGCCGGAACGTACCCTGGTAACTATCTGATATGGTTAGTGTCATAGTTATGTTATATGTCCCGATAGATGGCAGCACTGCATGGTTGGAAAGTGATGCACGTGTGGTTCTGCTGAGTAAACGTACTTGTCACATAGGCCCTACTCTACGAGTTCTTTATCTAATTGCGTATCCGTAGTACGAAACTACGACATGGTGTTAGAAGTGGGATCCGAACCCACGCCCTCATACGAGCAGTTACCACCTCAACTGTACTTCCACTCACTGCAGATTGACAGTGTAGGATCTGTCTACAATACACAGGCAGTACTCAAGGTACATGTGGACCTAGCCACAAGTTCCCATCTCGCTTAACACTCCTCCGTCGTGTAACAGTCGGAGAGCTTGGTCGGTTTAATGTGGACCGTGGAGGATGCAACATGCTGCTGATATGCAAAATTAACACGGGAGCAGAAGGAAACATCATTCCGATTAGCACGTACAAACAGCTGTGTCCAGACCAACACTGCGACTCTAATGGTACACTCATCGGATTAACGCCATCTGACACTAAGATTACTGCATTTGGAGGTCAATCCATACAGCACTACGGTACATAACATGTATGCTCACCCTCACTCACAATGGATGCTCCAATGCATACCCATTCCATGTAGTCAATACTGATGGACCAACTATCTTGGGTCTCCATACATGCCGGGATATGAAGCTAGTTACGCTGAACTACAGCATTACTACGCAACAAGACACGCCGGCTACACAGGCGCCTAAAGGTGATCCTGCTGCTAAAACTGAACTACTGCGTCAACACAAGAATTGTTTCGAAGGCATCGGGTGTTTCAAAGGCAAATTTCACGTCACCCTCGACCCCAGTGCCACCAGTGATACATCCACCACGCCGAGTTCCAGAGACATTACGTGAGCCGCTGAAGAGAGAACTGGACTCCCTCACAGCGCAGGGAATCATAGCAAAAGTGGATGAGCCCAGAGACTCGGTCAACTCCCTAGTATTCATCACTAAGAGTAATGGTGTGCTTCGACTGTGTTTAGACCCAAAGGATCTGAACTCTGCCATCAAGCGGCCTCACCATTGTACACCAACGATAGATGAAGTTCTTCCCAAGCTCAACGGAGCAAAGTACTTCTCTATAGTGGACGCTCACAGTGGGTATTGAAATATTAAGTTAGACCATGAGAGCTCGCTGTACACAACATTCAATACACCACATGGCAGATTCCGTTTTTTTAGGTTACCTTTCGGATTGATCTGTGTGCAAGATATCTTCCAGAAGAAGGTAGACGAAACCTTCGGGAATTTACCAGGTGTTACTGGGATTGCCGACAATATCATCGTGTATGGCTACAGTATAAGTGACCATGACAGCAAGCTAAGAGCCGTCATGAAGCGCGCAGCTGAAACAGGTCTGTGCTTTAATGCTGATAAGTGCAAAATTCGATGCACAGAGATCACCTTTTTTGGCAATATCATCAGCTCCAATGGACTCCGACCTGATCTTAAGAAGGTCGAAGCAATTCACAGCATAGACCCGTCAAAAAGCCTTGCAGACCTTCCTTGGCATGATGCAGTTCCTGAGCAGGTTCATACCAAACCTCGCAGAATGCGCAGCCAACCTATGGGATTTGACAAAGAAATCCAGTGAATTCCAGTGGTGCCCAGAGCATCAGTCTGCCGTAGACAGCATCAAAGGCATGATTTCATTGTCTAATTCACTACAGTATTTCGACAACACCAACCCGGTGACTATATATCCAGGTTGACGCTTCGCAACGCGGCCTTGGCACAGCCCTGATTCAGGACAAGGGCCCAGTCGAGTACAGAAGCAAGCTCCTGTCTGATACAGAGACTCGATACTCCAACATCGAGAGAGAGATGCTAGCCATTGTACATGGTCTTGAGAAATTCCACTACTACGCGTATGGACGACACGTTGTTGTAGAGACAGATCACAAGCCGCTGGAGGCGATATTCAAGAAACACCTCTCCAGCGCCCCACCTCGTATCTCTAGGATGATGCTCCGAGTACAGAAGTACGACGTGGAAATTAAGTATGTCCATGGGAAGGATATTCCCCTAGCCGCCGCCTTATCGAGAATAATTCCATGCCCAGCTGACACGG